TAAACGGACGAGAATTAGATCTTATTTTTGACTATGGAGTCCTACAACTCTAATGAAACCTTCTATATGTTTTTTTTACTTTATTATGGTTGGTTTTTGGTTTTTTAAAAAGTACTCTAAACTGTATAAATAATGTAAAATTAAATTGAATTTATTAGTCAATCAGAAGAACTTCTGTTATGAAATTTAATTAGGAAATTCCAAATTCATTTTTAAATTCTGTTTCCATTTACAGCATACATTTTAGATATATTTTTTGAATATTTAAAATTTCAAAGAATTATTAATTCTTAAAATTTAAGGATAAATTACCTAATCAATGCTTTAATCGACAGAAACTAATTCATTGATTTAGCTATTATGAATGATATCAAAATTTAGCTATGTATTATGAATGAATATTTTTGATAAAAATCATATTCATCAAATAGCCCATGAATTTTGATATAAAAAGAGTCAGGCATCAAATATTAAAAAAGATAAAGCCTGAGTTCAAAGAAGAACATGCTAAGGTTGACAATAGATATAATAATAATAATAATAATGCAGTCTTTCTGGTTGCATCTAATAATAATGGTGTTAATAAGAAAAAGACAGAAAAATGATAATATATTTTTTCAAAAAGATTAAACAAATATAAATTATTTCTGATATAGCAGTAAAATTTGCTAATATAATTTTGGTTATTTAACTTATTCTTTGTGATAGAAATTTTCAAATATAATTTTATTACAGAAATAATTATTTTTAATCAAACTTCACAAGATATTAGTATAAAAAAATTTGATCCAAGGTAATTTTAATATAAGGGACCTATTATATAATATCAGCTAAAAAATTTTTATTAAGATGATCATTTGCAATTATTCTTTCAATAAAAATAAAGGTGATAAAGTTTTATACATATTTTTTGATCACTTTAGTCATTTTAATTTGCTAATAATTATTTATGTTTTTCTTTGGATATATAAGATTTTGCATATTCAATACAGTAATCTATTAAGTTTTTCAAAAAACTTTTTAATAATAATCCATATTTAATGATGAAAATATTTAATTATATTTGTTTAATTTGTTATTAAGAATTCAAGTAACCTTTCCAATATTAGATTTTCAAATTTGTAAAGATTTTAGTCAGGAAAAAACTAATAACCTATTATTATAAATTTAACTTTAATAAATAGATGTAATCCCATTAGAACATTCCAAATTGATACTTCATTTAATATTAAAATAGTTCATATAAGTGGAAAAAGAGTACAAAAAATATACAGATTAAAAAAATACAATTATATTGATTATAAAAAATATGAAATATAAATAAATAATTTTATTATACTAAATATAAAAGCTAGTCAAACTACTTTATATCTATACATTAAAAACACAAAATTATGATGACAAACTCTTTATCAACAATATGCTAAATTGACAAAAATATAAAATCTTTACTAATGATGAAACTCTAAATTTTTCAACAGTAATGTCAATATAATGAAGACTTAAACATTATATTAAGAAAGACATCAACAAATAACAACTTTAACAATAATTTCAATGATAATAATTTAATAACAATAATGACAAATAATACCTATTTTATAAAATTATATTTGAAAATAAAATTAGTAAAAAAAAAAAAGATAAATACAAAACTATTATATAATAAAAACACTTACTTAGAAAGATACTTAGTTTCAGCTAAATAATTAGCTTACTCATCCTAGTCACCATATAGTAGTATATCCTATTACTAGGTTTATAACAACTTTAAGTTGTATTCTAAGTAAAGCATATGCAATAAATAACATGAATAACATTATTCAAAACATAAAATATTATTCAAAGTTCTGATTAATAAGTACAAATTATCTAAAAAAGTTTTTCTAAGACCTAGAGTTCAGTATATTATATATTTAGATAAAAGAATTACTAGTAAAAGAGGTCACCATTAACACACTTCACTACTCAGTCATCTTGCACCTTAAGTCTCTGAATAATTACCTCAAAGGTATTAGACAGGATTATTAGGTTAAGGTTTTTAAGAAAGCTTTTATGAAATAAAAAAAATTTTTAAAAAATGAATATAAAAACTATTGCTCCTTGAAGTTGTTTTTCAGACATATTCATCTTCTTTGATGAACCTTTAAATAAACTAAGAGATCCATCTTATGTTTGGTCCATTTCTGAAAAAACAGCTCAAGAAACATCACATTTCACATATATAGGAAAAAAGAAAAGGTTTTTTTATTGTAGTAGGAAGGTTCAAATATGTAAAAAGGAAAACAATAACAAATAACTTAAGAAATATTAAGTTCTTAAAATATTTCGTTTATTGTATTATTTTGCTACCAATTACGTATTGATCTACATATTGCATAAATTATATTCTTATAAACTTATAACCATAAGTGCATCAAAAAAGTAACCTTAACCGACATAATGTAAGTTATGTAATAGTTATATCTCCTTTATTTATTTATTCTACCCTTGTATAAACTTTGATTCCCAATTTACTTATTTATTTCAATTCTAAACATATACAATGTTCTATTTATTAGGCAGAAACTTTAATGAATGACATTCAAAGTCATGATTATATTACAATGAATTTGTCTAAATATCGTACTTTGTCATTGTGAGTGAAAGAAATGGATCCTAATCGACATTTAGAAGTTTATAAAAAAGAGACTAAAGAATACCTTCAACAGATGAGACTTCTTTTATCTAAGAGAGTTGGCTGAGGAAGCTAATTATAGTAAACAAGTTTTTTTATTTTAAAAAATATTAACATTATGTAACTTTATGACATTCTTACTATCTTCATGGCCTGCGTAGTTTTATAGTGCGGAAAATGCGTATAGTAATCAGAGTAGTTTGTTTTCATTTGATAGTACCAAACAAGCATTTGAATTTAAAGATAGTGGTAATGGAAAAATTCCACTTGAAGAGGTAACATATACAGCGAGTTTTTAGAACTATAATTAACTTACTATATTTCTAATATTTAATAATGGTATCACTTTATTATAGTCCTTCAATCGTTGTCTTCCATTGATCGTTAATGAACAGAAGTTCATGGCTGATTTTTTTCACCTTACCAAAAAGGATTCAAAATTATCATACGATTCATAAATGTTTCTTAAGGATTTGGATGATGATGAAAGTGAAATTAGCATAAAAAACTTCTAATGTAAGCTATTATTTTAATCAAATATATATGGATATATCTTTTAGTTGAGAGTTCTAAATGCTTTTATTTTAAAGCGAGCACATGAAAAAGTTATACGAATTATGCGTATTTATTGATTATGGTTGCAAGCTTGACGCAGCATAAGAATATTAAGCATTTAGTTTATTAGATCTTTTGAAGTCTATGTTAAATTTCTTACTAGATATTTGTAAATTTTACATCAAAAAAAATAGCAAAATAGTAGGAATTATTGTATCTATTGAAAAACTCATGAATGAAGATGAAAGACTTGACTACAATTATGTAATTAAAGTGTTTCGAAATGTCAGAAAACATTGTTTTGAAATTTTGGAATGATTTATTGTAAGTATTCAAGGTTTCTGATAATAGCAACTTATAGCATATATAGATATCCACATACGTATTTGAGTGACGAAAAGAAAAAACCTGTAAATCATTTCACTCATTGAGTGAGATGATTTACAGGTTTTCCCTTTTCGGCACTCATTTATTGTTCAATTCAATTTGGTTAAATTAGAATGAGCAACTCAAAGCTATTGAAGATACTAAGGTTACTTCAAAGAGTTCAAAGAGACGAAAAGGAATAGTTCTGTTTATTCGCATATTTCCGGTGTGTACATCTAGTTTTTAAGTTTTGCATACCTCAAATTTGGACACGAAGAAAATAAATTAACTCCTTATATAATGATTAGATTTAAAATATTTGTACCATTCGATTCACCTTGTTAAAATGAATTGATTGGTGCTAACATCGTTTAAATCCTTTCACTAATGTACGAATTTACTCAAAACTTATATTATTTATAATATATTGTTCAAGTTTATTGAATGTATAATGCTTATTCTTAAAATAGTGTTTTGTAGAGCGTATAGAATATTCAATGAATAGAGCTGATAAATTAGAAATACGTCAAATTGTGAATAGTGGTTATGAAAAGATTGTTAAAACGATGTTTGATTGTTTAGAAGCGATTTCAAAAGACGAAGAATCGCTAATGACTTTAGGTAATATTTCGTATACTTTACATTTTGAAATAATCTTAAACTCATTTTTCCTAATTTTTATTATATCTGTTCAATATAGAAAACATGCACCACTTTTTTATACCGAGATTCGAACTCGTAGAATAATGGTTCTTGAGCCATTTATGAGATATGCGTGAAGTTCGTACGATAGACATTTAGAAGCTTATGCCAAATCTGTTGTCCGGAGACCGTTTGGTAAACTGCTGGTGAGTGATTTCAAGGGATTATCTGAGTAATATTGGTTATCAACAAATTTTCTTGACTTATACTTACATCCATTCATATATATATCAGGAATTCTTTGAAGGAATAAAAAGTCTTTTAAGAACGACGTCAGCACCAGAAGAAGTTGGATTTCGGCTCAAATATAGCAAAGATGCTTTAAAGAAACTTGTGCCACAGTGCTCTGGAAAAGTATTATTATTATTTTTTTTATTTTTAAACAGTCTTTAAAATCCGCTCTTAATATAAATTATTTTCATACAGATAAGAAAAGCTTGATTTCGTTGTATAAACGAGTTGACAACCAAGTATAGAAGAAGTAATTAGAAGTTACGAAAGATTTACATCGATTATCAATAAATGTTATCCAGATTCAAATATTTCTTTAGAGTTTTCGATAGATGATTTGTTGAATTACTTTTAAGACTTAGCTAGAAGTCATTAGCTTGGCGATTACTGTGATGAGGTAATTACAGCAGACCTTGTGTATATTTATATCTGACCTATCTTTGGATTAGATCACCATCAATTTATCTAATATTAACAATGTGTCTGTTCCTATTTTTGACCAATCATGATAACAGAATTTTTAGCTGGATGTCTAACGGTACTAGTTTTCCTAGTTTAGAATAGAATAATGTTATTGAAACGTTTGTGCTATTGGTATTTAGAAATTGTACGCATATATTCACAAAACTGAGAACAGACATTTTTTAGCATGATATTTATATGATTCTATTTTTTCTTGTATAGCTTTCATCTCTTGTAAAGCTAAAAGTAGACGAGA